ATTAGTTGGGGGAGAGGTTTCCCTTTCTCTCTTTTTTTTTTTTTTTTTTTTCCTATGTGGTGGGGGGGAAAGTGCAGAGAAGAGCCTCTTTAGAGTGTAGTCTGGAGGGAGGCACGAGGGCAAGCGTATGTGAGAGAGGGAGGGAGGGAGGGAAAGAAAAAGACCCCTTTTACTGTGCGAGAACTTAAGGGGGTTTGGAGATCTGGTCAGCTTTCACGAACATCTGAATCCTCTTAGAGCTCCCCGGCCCAGCTGTGAGTGTGTGTCTATGCGAGAGGGAGAGAGAAAGAGTGGTTCCTGGTGCCCCTCCAAGCGCATTAAGGACACTCGGGCCTTTTAATTTTAGGAATGAATGCTGATACTTGTGTTTCTTATTGTGATCCGGCTGCCATGGATTCCTACTACAACGCAGCCTCCCAGGACACAGAAGGCTCCTCGCCTTTTAGGGCATTTCAAGCAAGTGACAAGTTCAGCCCTACTTTCCTGGCCAGCAAAGGACAAGGCTTTGGTGACAGCAGCACTAAGTGCCGGAGCCGCTACAGCCAGCAGGAATGTCAGTCCCTGGATGGCAGCGTGCAGGCTCCCGGCTCTGCCGGGTCTCCGGCCTCCTTTAACAAATACCCTCCGCAGCAGCAGCAGCCGCCGCACCTCTACATGCAGCGAGGCCCCTGCAAAACTCCCCCGGACAGCAACATCAAGCTGCAAGAGAGTAGCGGCCACAACGGAGCCCTGCAGGTCTCCTGTTACGGTGAGTCCTTGGCGTGCGGCGGGCAAGCGCTGGAGGCGAAAGCAGAGAGAGACTCCCGGGCCTGGAAAGGGCCTCCCGGGAACGTGGGGGTGGTTGCCTGGCAGGACAAACCCTACCGGGGTCACTGAGACCTTGGCCGGCTCCGGCTTGCAGCCCCTTGTCGCCGCAGCGGGGGCCGCCGTGCCCCACGAGTATCTTCATTGCCAGCCGGGTCTGGAGCCCGCGATGCCCGCGGGCAGCAGCCTTTCCCCCGGCTCCCGCTTAGCCGTGATCTTAATCGTAATTTCGGAACGCGGGCGATGCGCGCCCGCAGAGTTGTAGCTCTTGAGCAGTGCGGGGAATTCCGCGGAATCCGGGACGGAAACAGAATCAGAAAGAGCGGAGCACCAGGCTGTGCAACGCACTCTCCGAGGGGACTGTTTTCCACAGAAAGAATTTCTGGAAAATTTCGCCGAAATCATCAGTTTTAGCAGTAACGACCTCTCCCATCTCTCACTTTCTCCCCAAATTGCCACTCCCCTAACTGATTTCTGCCCGGCTGCAGATAACCCCCTCGCATCCCCTCCATGGGTCATTAGCGGCAATTAAGACACTCCCTCACGCTGGCTCGGCAGTACAGCCGGGAACGGGGGCGCTTCTCATGTCGTTTCCGACCGTGGCTTTAGAAGGCTTCTTCGGGAGGTTTCCGCTGTATCGGGGTGGTTAGGAGAAAGCAAAGCAAACAAACAGCCCCCCCCCCCCTAAAAACAAACAAACAGAAAAATTCAACAACGAAACAAATAAACCCCTCTAAGTTTTCCCAAGAAGAGAAGGTGGAAATGAAAGTTCTTCCTTTCCCTCCCGGTGATCTCTCTGTGAGCCGAGGGGCTGTCCCGGCCTAGGTTCAGAGCGTGTCTCCGCTGACGGGGTCCCATTCTCCATGCGTTAGTCCCAAAGGCAAGGACAGCTATAGGACCGTGTCTCCAGGGTGATCCTAAGACAGGCAGTAACTACGGACTGGGGGCACAGAGGAGGTGGAGGAGGTCCGCGTCAGGCCAGCAATCCAACTTCTAGGCTCTCGCTGTCATTTGAGCACTCTTTTCTCTCTTTACCCTTTTCCTCTCTACCCTTTCATCTCTAGACTTAAAAGAGGGTAGAAGCGCCTTATTTCTGCCTGTCTCCCAAACCCCGGCTTGCCAGGTCGCCTTCAGGCGCAGTCCCTCGCTCCCTGCTTGCAGCTGAGGTACCCCGGGATCCAGGTCCACAGCCTCAGTTCTCCCACGCACAGGTGGCTTCCCTTCCAAGGAAAAAGACATTAAATTCTCTCCATACAGACGTGCCGGGAGCCGAAGGCATAGCCCAGCTACGCTGCTCCCGGACGGGGTTCTGCCCGGACCCGCACGGTTCCTCCCCACAGCCGGTGGCACAAGCATCCTCCCGCAGGTATCTCCTCACCGGGCCCTGAGGCCATGAGGGCTCTCTTTGATGGATGCTTGCACACTTTTTCTGGCCAGAACTGGAGCTTTGACCCTCTCCTACGCTCGCTCTCTTCCCCTGCCCTTTCCCCGTGGGCGGACAACCCCCACCAGCGTCAGGCGGAGCCCTTCTAGGGCCAGCCCGGGCACCGCGGCAAAGGACACACGGTGGGACCGGGGAGACCTGCGGGGCTGCGGCCAGTGCAGGAGGTAACCGGTCCCCGCTCCCTCCGGGAATGGGATCGCAGGACAGCCCCTCGTGCCTTCCCCGCCGCCCTGACATCCTCTCTCTGTTAACCGGCTCTCTTGTTTTTGTAGGTTGCAAAGCCCGGGGCGCCGGCATAGCCTGTGATGACACATTACAACCCCCCGGTAGAATCACACTAGTTTATTGCCCTCCTAACACGGCCGGGGTTCCCCCGACTTATTTTCAAGCTAGGCTAGGGGTTCTCCTTCAGTGGGAGCCCCACGGCGGTGGTGGATGGCCCGGCCCGACCCAGACCGCGCTCGTTGTGAGCCCTTTGTGATGTGGCTGGGGACGGTGGGCTGTAATGAGAGACACATGGTTCGGCAAGGATAATTAATAGCAATAGTGATAATAATAGTGCTTAATGGTTTATGAGAGAGACTCGCTAATAACAGACAGATCGGGGTTTCGCGGAGCGGCTGCAACATCCATAGCCGCCTCTCCGCCTTTTCCCAAACAGCGAGACCACCGCGCCGGGAGCAGGAGCTGTGCCCGAGGAACCCCGCCAGGGCTAAGGGGAAACCTCCGAGTCGGGGTAGATCCCCTCGGTGCGGGTGGGCGCGGGGAAAGAGAAAGCCGTCCTGGTTCTCAGCAGCGGGCACAAGCGCGGTCAGCCAGCGCGCACACGGCACTCAAGGCGGGTCAGGAGAGCTACCCCGAGAGGTTTGCTTGGGAAGCCGGGGACAGGCGGCTGTCCCACTGCTTCCCGCCGACACCCCGCCGCAGCTTGGGTGCTGCCGTGGGCGCTGCGCAGTGGTGAAGGAGCGCGGCGGGGACCACTGGCTGCCCGCGTCCCCCGTTGTCCGGGCCTGAGCAGGATGCTGGAGTGCTGGGACGCCGTGACTGCAAACCCCTCAGTTTTAAAAACAACAAAACCCTCAAAGAGGAGGAAAGAAACCCAAGCAAGCGAAACACAAACCGAGGCCAACCAGCAGGCAGGCTCTCCTGCCAGGCGATATTCAGGCGGTCCCCTTCCCCCGCTCCCGTCGTTGCGGTGGGCCCATGGCCCGGCCGGTCCCGCCCGAGCTGGTCCCCTCCTGGGGATGCTGCTGCCTGCACGGCCACCCCGTAGCCCTCGCCTCCGCCTTTCCCCTGGTGGCTGTGGAGGCCCGGGAGAGCCCGGAGCCGAGCGGCCGGGGGCTGCGGCGGGGGCCGGCGCGGCGGGCATGGCGCGCACACCGCGCGCCGGAGGGACACGGTATCCCCTCCCTTATTTTAGTTGTTTGATTTCATTTTATTTCTTTAATAAACAAGTCTTTTTGAGTTATAAAAAGCCCGAGCCTGCCCTCTATTGCTCTCGGCTTCTATTTCTAGATCTAAGACCTTCCACTGCATTGTAGGGATAAATATAGGCCAGGGAGAGCTGCGGCCGTAAATACACGGAGAACACGGACGGCAATCGTCGGAGCTCTTCCAGCCCGGCTTCTGGCAGGGACAGCGGCACCGAGCGGCCCTGGCTCTCGGCCGGGCTCCTCGCGGCCCCCTCGCAGCGGCGGCTGCCGGCCTGGCCCTATGGGGCTCCCGGCACGGCTCCTCCTGTGCCCACCCGGAGGTCGCTGCCCCTGCGCTGCGATGGGCCGGCAGCCTCGCACTGCTTACCCAGCGTTCCCTGACGCGAATAGGGGTACGGGCTATTCCGCAAACCGGCACGAACAGTGACAGCCGAATTCTTAAATAAAAGTCATAGAATCAGAGAATCTTCAATGTTGGAGGAGACCTTCAAGATCATTTAGTCCTGAGAACAGGTTATATATATCTTGGCTTAGGAGGGGATAAAGCTTTTGGATGATTTATGTGCTGTAGTAATCTGACTTGCTATTTCTACTGCGTGGAGCTGAAGTAAGTTGTATTTCTTGAAACATATGTATTCACATACCCCTACACACAGAGAAATGTATACGTATATTGCTGTCTAGAAATACCGACTGGAACAAAATCCTTTTGGGAGAGAAGGCAAATGTGATGGGGATATTTGCTCAAAGGAAACAGAACAAAGGAAACGACTTTCCCTAACAGAGGAAATTCTTTAAGTACCGCATTATACAAATAACGACCATTTAAAAAATTTAGCTAGCAAATAAAAAGTGCGGCCGTAAGTGCGTTATTATTAGAAGTACAGAAAGCCACCGCTGTAGGAATCGGAGCCTCTCTGCGTGCTTTTCAAACTGACACTTTTCATGTATTTCTCCTCCTCCTCCTTCCCTGATGTAATGTTAGTTGCAGGCACGGCAGGAACGAGCTCGCTGGCGGTCCCTCTCCTCCTCCCGCGAGAGACCTCCGTCTGCCAGGCGCTCGGGGCTCTCCGCGGGGCCGCGCTCAGCTCCCGCCGACGCTCAAGGGCTCTGCGGAGCTCGCCGTGCTCCGGGGAGCGCAGCCGGCGTCTGCCCCCTTCCCCCGGCTTCCGCCGCAGCCCCGCGCCCTTAGAGGAACGGGGTAACGGGGCCCGTGTGCTCCCCCTGGGACTCCCTCAGAGCTCCCCCTCCTCGGGCCATGCCGTGTCCCCGCACCGGCGTCCGGGCCGCCCTGCTGAGGATCTCCGCAGGAACGGCTCTGCCAGGAGCCGGACGGAGGTCCCTGCCCCTCGCCCGCCGAGAGCCCGGGGTGCAGAGGATTTGGGGAGGGGTGTCCCGAGCTGCGGCGGCCCTTCCTCCCCTTCCGTCTCCCCGTGGCTTTGATCCCGGCTCCCGGCTCCTGCCCGGGTTCCTCCGGCGCGGCTGAGAGAGCCGGCGGGGAGGCAGGCGGGCTGCGCGGCCTCCCCCGCACCTCTCTCGGCCGGGGTGGGGAGATGCTGCTGTCCTGATCCCTCAGAGACGGGCCAGTATAAAGGGGAGAAGTGCTCGGGAGGCAGGCGCGAGTGGGGAAGTGGGGGAAGGGGACACGGGGGGACGTGATCCGAGCTGGCATCAAGGAGCAGGAGCCGGCAAGCGGAGCCAGGAGGGCGGGGAGGCGAGGCGAGCTTCAGGGAGCAGGGCGGCAGAGCCGGCCCTTCCCTCCCGCTGATGTGGGACCGGCTGCCCGGCGAGGCTCGGCCGCCGGCTCCCGGCGTGCTGCTGACGCCGCCCTGGCAATAGCCCTCTCTTTTCCACAATAGGGCCACCAGATCTGCCATTCAAGGGTTCCGGCACCCTCCCAGGGAGGGGAGGGAGCTCTCGCCAGGAGTTTGGCTAAGCCTCTGTTTGAGCAGACACTCGGAGGTGCGGGATCTCCTCCGCGGAAACCTGCGGGATTTCCTCAGGGAGCCAGACGCGAAGGTAGGGCTCACGTTCCTTACCCCTAGGGCCGCGCAGGAAGGTTTATTC